GTGTCTCCACAAACATACAGACACAGCAAGGCAAATCTCTCGCCTGCTCCCTGATCCCTGCTTACCCGATCGTCTTTCCTCTCTTCTCCATTCTCTAAGCTAGTAGATGGACAGCTGCTGGAGACTGCTCTGTCCCCTGTAATCTTGTACTGGACAGGACGTTCAGGGAAGCCAAGCTGAGAGAGTTGGAGTCAGTGGATCAGAAACATGATGACTGTATGTGTTTGGGCAAAAATTGAAAGTAGTACTTTGCTGGCAATGTATATTTGTTTAATCAGAACTTATTATTAAAAAAATATATTTTTTAATATTATTTTAGGGTTTAATACTACTTTAAAAGAATACAGGGTGCTCAACACTTGAGTTAGCTGGCTTTTCCTTCCCTGTACTTCCTTATCATATGACACTCAATCGACATAGCGCCGTTTAGCCTGTACCAGTATTCTCTGTAAGCCAGTTTGGAATGTTGTTCCTCATTCTGCAAACAGCGACTAGAAAGCTCTGACATCAAATGATTGATTTTTTCTTATTGGAAATGAAGAGCTCACTACTGTGCCTCACGGGTTCACTCTTGTTTTTCTAGCAATCGACCTATACATATTGTAGTTGTCTTTTCTACAACATGACTGCTGCTACATAGAAAGAAGAATTAATTTTCTCTCTGCTGAGTTCCCTAGCTTCATTCCTCTGTGATCAAGAGCTCTGCATGTTTCCAAACTACCTTTCCAGTGAGCTCAACTTCATCTGTCAGAATGACTCATGCTCCAATTGATTCTTGGTAATCAACTGGAAAAAATGCAGCAAGCTGGCTCTTTCTCTATGGATCCCTACAATGACTCTCATCAGAAACACGTTGGACACTTAATAGTGTTATATGGCATTCTAGAAAAAAATATTATAACAGTCATAATAATAATAAAAATAATAATAATACTACATATATATGAAGTCGATGATATGTTTTGAATGCAATTGTTATGAAATATTAACGTGTGACAGTTTCATTGTCACACGTCGGCTCGAACTATGAGGCTGAGTGATTTTCACTCGCCTCATAGTTCTCCTTTAAAGTTGAACTCCAGGCAGATGTAAAAGACACAAAATAATGCAACACTGTATTCATTGATACATTATTAAAGTCACACTAAACTCAGCAGTTACATCTTAAAAATGCATTCAAGTACCTTAACTATTAACAAAAATATATCTTATTTGTGTATCATTCAGCTGTAGTTTCTCAAATCACCTCTGAATTGGTGCTGACACTGTCCTTCCTCCTGGAGGGTGACTACTTTTGTTCTCCATGGTCCCTGTGTGTGTTGTAAAGTAGCCACCGCTTCAACCTCACCCCTGTGATAGACCACAGTCTCATGTTTAGTTTACTAATTTGTATTGTGATTGTAGTCCATCATGGGAGCGAGCTTGGAGTAGCGACTACTTTACAACACACACAGGGACCATGGGGGAGGAGACTGGTGCCAAGGACTGAAGTAGCAAGGACCCTAAATGAAAATGGGAACTTAGTGGGGGCACCCCTACTGTAGGGTTAAGAATAATTATGCCCAGAGTTCTTCTTTAACCCTTTAAAAGTGACATTTAATGTAAAAAAAAAAGGAAACTTCTGCCGCAAAATAACAGATCCCCGATCAGATTCTGTTTGTAGTTTGAACTGTCTGGGGGTCCTGGGTGACATCATTGACCAAATATGCTTAACCCCTTAAGGACCCAATGACAGAATTATTCCGTCATGTGTCCTTAAGGGGTTTTTAAACAGACTGCTGAGACTCTGTTTACTTTTATAGAGCCGGCTGTCGGCTTTATAATAGAAGCGATTCTGGCGAGCCAGCTGCCGCCGGATCGTTTCTATGGGTCGGTAAAGTGCCCGCCCCCCCTGCCGTGTTTCCCGGGCTCCGCCGTGTTTGCATGTCTGGTGCGGGAAGCTGGGGAGGAGAGTGGCGAACTTCCGTTCACCGATCTCCTCCCCGCTCTATGGAACCGGGAGCGACACGTATTGCATCACTTCTGGTCCATGAGCTGTCATTGCTCTGCTACTGAAGCCCAGTAATAATCTATTGAAGTGCGATCTGCACTTCAATAGCTTATTTAAAGTGGAAAGATGACAACGGGGGTCTTTTGGACCCCCAGTATCACCTTTAAAGAGGACCTATTACTGCCAATATGCTATCATATGGGGTCTTGTAAGCCCCCTTTTGTGATAGCAGTTAAAGTTAAAAATAAATAAAAAAAAACACTTTTTACAAATAATATTAAATAAAATAAATGTAAAAATAATAAAACATTTTTTTAAAAGTCCCTTGCCCCTGTGAGCGACCACGTGTTCACGTAAACACACGTCGGGTACACCTATGTACGTAAACGACGATCACACTATACATGTTGGGTATCGCCTAGCACAACAGGGTGAGAACAATAATTCGAGGGCCAATACTTATGTGTATCCCTAAACTGATGACCTGTAGGGGCTTTTAAAGCATCGTCTGTGGACTTTCTAAAGGGTCCTTAAGGGATTAATTGTGGTCATTATTTTGTGTACAAATAGAAGCTGGCCAGGGATTTATCGATGTGTAACGGTAGTACAAGTTCATGGGACAAGATCATGGGGCAAGATCATCGGGCATTGAGTCATTGTGGCAACATTGTTGGGCAGCGGGCCATTGTGGTATCGTGATTCATGCTAGCTCTACATTGTGGGACATCATTTATTCCAATTAATCAATAAAAAGAGCTGGAAGGAGAAGAGCCTGATCACATGACTTTGACAGGTCATGTGACTGTGCCTCGCTTTAATCATGGAGTGTTCTCTGCAACCTAATACAGAGCATACTAAGACCCCTTTCAAATGGGCTGATCAGGAGAGGATCCGTGCGCAGATCCTCCCCTGATCAGAGCGGTACTGATCGGATGTTGCCGCGGTGACATCCATGTCCGTACAGTTTTTTCCTTCATCTTGCAACATGTGTCCTTTTACGTCAGATTACCCCCGATCCGGCAAGTCTAAACGGAACACTGTTCCATCTGTTTTTTCTGACCCAGCCAGAGCCGGGGGGTAACCAAGGTGTAAACGGACACTCATCCGTTTACACATGGCTGCCCATAGACTTACATTGGGAATCTAATTGGTTCTGCCTAAAAAAACTGACAGATGGACCCGATCAGAGCGGCAGTCTGAAAGGGGCCATACTGTAAAATGCAGGCACAGTGTGTAGTAAACAGTGTCCAGCTTCTCCATTATAAACTAGCCCCTTTGTTTTCCAAAGCAGTCTGTATTTTACTATGAAGCTCAATGATTTGTATTTATACCTATGATGTACTGATTATTTGTTTCCATTTATGCATTTATCAGTTTTCACCAGGCAGAAAAAAATGTGACCAACCAATGATCCTCTACATATGCCATAGCCATATTCATTGTGAAAGTAGGCATGCCTCCTAAACATTCTAAATGCTTGTGCCAATTCTGCTGTGAGAGCTCAGACACAGAGGCATCCCCAGGCCAGGTGTGGCCGCCGGGTGTCACCCGCTGAGACACCATCACGCACGCGCAAGACATCGTCATGCACTTGTATACTGACGTCATGTGCACTTAACTGCCGGCGGCCATCTTGGTGCCACCAGGTCCCCTCCTCTCTCCTGCAGTTGAAGGGCTCTTGGTCCATGACTGAGTGCCTGACTGCTCAGAGTGTGCGACACCAAAATAATCGCCAGTCATTTCGGTGTCACTCCCTCTGATGGTGTCCATTGGTGCGGGCCGCACACCCCTTGTGATGCCACTGCTCAGACACCTTATAGTATCGAACACAGTTCAATACCCCTAAGCCCCTATTCACTCTAGCAGCGCACATGAATGTGCACAAAATAGCGTGATTATACTTGTCTGTATTTGTTATTTGTTAACACACTTTGCCTTGTATGTATTAATGTGAGAATGCATGTTAAAAAAAATGTGCAACGCTTGGAGCCCAAACTGCTGACTAAGCCCTTTTTGCCACATTTTCCAAGCACAGGGCATCCCATTTATTTCTATGCTTATGCACAACAAACACTGTAAAATGTGTGAAAATGCACTCGTGCGTTTACCAGTATAACTAGTGTATAGCTATAGTATAGCTAGTAAATACAGTGATGAGCCATGTCCATAGTAGATAGAACTCACTGGTATGCTATATGTAAATGGCTGGGTCCAAAGGGAAATTGTTTAACAAACATTGTTTGAAAAATTATTTCATATAGCTTCTGATTTTTGCTGATGTTAGAGTGACACAAACCTAACATGCCAGTGACTGCTGAATAATTACTTTAAAAAGATTAATAGAAGCACAGGTAGCTACTGGCCTTCTGGCTGCAAAACAGAGTGGGGAAATTTATCAATTTTATTGCATCATCAGCATCTTTTAAACTGTCGTATCTCTGATTTCTAGTGCATGTAGCGACAGATTTATTATCCTAGTTTGTTTTATTACTAAATGCCTTCATAAGGAGAATTGTCTCTAAGTTGCCCCAACGTCTAAACTGTCTGTAAACTGTCACAAGCTTTGTGAGCAAGAACCTCCTAGATGACAGCTGAATAGCCCTGAAGTGCTCAGCTGACTTGAGTGTATGAAGCTGAGTTATCTTTGTGATACTTTAAGAAGTTCTCAGGAGGACTTCTACAATGTGCAACCGCTTTTAATGTCGCAAATGGTGGACGCACTAATTGTGCAGTTGAAACATTATGCGAAATGTCGCAAAACATGTGCAGTGGGTCGCAAACATGAATATGTCACAAGAACACTTCAAAAAAGGTGCAAAACAGAAAAAAAACTTTGTGGTTAGTTAGCAGGACATCTTTCCCCAATTTCTCTTTCTAACAAAGACTTGACTTGCATTTTTCATCAATAGCCAAATGCAGCTGAACTTGCAGGAGATTGGAATAATGGCTTTGCGAAGGAGCGAGGACAAAAACCAAATAATGCTGTATTTAAAAAAATAAATATACTTACAACATGATGATATTGGTACGCTAATGGCCAAGAATATCCAGGCAATATCCACTTTGCTTAGGCAAATAGTTTCTCTGTGTGCAGGTTGAGTGCCCTCCTCTGTAACATGTGAAATATTTCCAGGAGAACCAGGTTTCCAAGTTCCAGCAGGTACCAGCCTGTTGAGGAAATTCCCAGTAGCCGTGGATCCAGTTGTAGACATAGTTATGGAATTCTTTGTGGTGGCATCAGTTGGCACAGTGTAATCTAATTTGGTAGTTTGTTCTGATACTGCATGAGGCTTGATGACAGTTTCCTTGTTGCTTTCTATCACAGATATGGTGCTTTTAGTATCCAGAGAAGTCTGCAGAGATGTGGGTAATGTAGTCATTCTTGTAATGGCTGGGGAAGTTCCATTCTTCCCTCGTCTAATGGAGAACAAGGAACCATTGCGATTTAACACGTCCCATAGTTTGTAATGAGTGGGTTTGAAAGGCACAGACACTGATTCAGTGTTCTTAGACATTTCACTGGCAAGGGTAGGTGAACTCTCAGAAGAAAGGCTTTGCAAAGTGCCAGCATGGAGTAAAGAGTCTTTAAGAAATGCAAGAAAAGTGCTAGTATGGTCAGTCATAGCTGTAGTCCTCAATGGAAATCTTGAAAGAAGCTCAGGTTGGAGGTAAGGTTCTGTAGACCCAAAAAACCCATCTGTCACATTTCCAAATGGTTTCTGCACATTTCCTGAATGTGTAACACCCTGAACATTGAAAAACGGTGTGGCTGTTTGTCTGGTATTGTTTTTAACAGCTTTGTTGCGAAGTGGAGACACTGAGTCTGAAGATTTCACAGACTGCCTATTGCCAGATCTTGTAGCCTTCCGGACAGGATTAAAAGGAACATCCGGTGTCACCATTTCTGCATTTGTAGTCATTTCCTTCAGGTTTTGGTAAGATGGTAAGGTTGGATGCTGTTCCTCAACTGCAAATACTTTTTTATCCGCTTGTGCCAAAACAAGTAGAACACCTGAGAAAGAGAACATTTGAAAATTAATGAAACTTGTTAGGAAAGAGATGCAATATAACCATTAGATAAATCATATTTAGCTGAAATATGAGCTAGGTGATAGTATCTCAGCAGGGGTCGCTGAGACATGTAATTTCTAAACATCTGGAGGTCTATGAATTTCCATTTTTTTGTATAAAACTGAAGTCCAGATAAACAACCAAATACACAGTCAGGACCTATTCACACGGGGTCACATGCCACTTACTTGGATTCCTGCAACAAGAACCAACAGATTGCTGCAGCATGAATCCCAGGTGTCCCCCTTCAGATGCGGCCACTGTACCCACTGAAATAATGACAGGGTGACAGCGGCCGCATACATGGTACGTGCGGTATCTCTTGCTCCTGGTGAGGCATTCCCCAGCCCTGCCCCCACAGAAGCTCCACCCTCTGTCAGGAGAAGCTCCGCCCCACTGGCCGAATCCCCACCCCCAACCTAGTGTAAAGGAGGAAGGGAGGAGACAGGGAGGAGCCTCCCTGTCCCTCACTTGCTCCTCACTGCTGAGGCGCTCCGTCCATGACAGGTTACACAGCAACCTGTTAGACGCCCATCTGAATGGAGAAAAAGCTGTCAGCTTCAGACGTGAAGCTGACAGCTTTTTACTCCACAATTCTAGGTGAGGCTCTGCCTCACCTGCCTCCCCTGACCACGTGTCCCTGGTGTACATGCGGTTTGGGATAGATGACTGTCATCTACGTGAATGTGTACAGCAGCCACATCTTAATGAATGCCAGAACACGCCGTGTGAATTGGGCCTTAAAGTGCATATACATGGACTGGTTTATCTGCCAAAGGATTAGTAACTAAGTTCAGCCAGTCTAGTGATCCCAGCACACCTGTGGTCAGTGACCTATTTTCCACCACTGCAGTAAGGCAATACAGTGTGGTTACCAACATCCAAAGTCTCCTCTGGGAAGCATGCTCAAATTGTTGACTGACAACTCTATGATTCAGAGTGCTGACCCTTCCTCTCACAAAGTCCTGCTCTGCTATGGGAATACAGGAGGCTGATATCACTCAATTTAGGCAATTTAAATAACTCTATATATAAAAAATACTTTTAATGAATAGATAACTGGGTTAAATGACATTTATATAAGTGCCCGGAGGTCAGCTTTAAAAAAAACAACACTAGCCAATTAGAATAATGATGTTCACTGAAACAGAATAGCTGCGAATAGTTTTCCAGAGAGTTACATTTCTTTTAATTTATTTGCATTATGTTTATTTACATTTATATACATTTTTTGTTTACCTGTTTTGCCTCCCAGAGGTTGATTTTAGGGCCACTTAAAATGAACAAAGAGGATTGAAAATGTATCTAAACCCAAGAACAAAATTGTAATAGAACAAAAATTAAATATTGTAGCTTACCAGCTTCTAGATCTGGTGGCTGCATTCGTTTTCTCTACCCCTCCGCTCCGGCTGTGGAGTGTCCCTCAGCATCCTCACATCTAATGTAAGTCAATGGACCTGCATTAGACGTAATGATGTCAATGGTCCTCAGGCCCCTTTCACACAGACTTATCAGGAGGGGATCCGTGCGCGGGTCCCTTCCTGATCGAAGCAGTACAGATCGAATGTCACTGCTGTGACATCCATGCTTGTCCAGTTTTTTCATTCATCTTGCGATGGAGGAAAGAACTTAAACTAGTGGACTCATCTTGGTCTATGTGTCCGTTTACATCAGATTACCCGATCTGGCACGTCGAAATGGAACACTGTTCCGTCTGTTTGACTATACAGCAGGCTAGAAAACTTCGTCAAAATTAGTTCGATTTACACTGCTCAGGTGCAAACGAAAATATGTGCGGCCGATTACCGCAATTCGTCCAGGAATTGTTTTTTAAATTACTGCTGATTGGGGCACATGCGCGCAGCGAGACAAGATGGCCGCGACCTAATCTCGCTCTGCACCCCGCCGAGACCTTAACGGACACAACACAGGCATCGCGGTTGCTGACGCCGCAAATCTCTCCCAGCGCTTACCGGACATCGGTCGGCACCTAAATATGTCGGTGTCGGGCTCCCACTTGCATGTCCGGTCGCGATCCGCCAAAGAGACACTGGCTCACGCAGCCTCCAAGATGGCGCCCAAGGACACAGGGCGGCGCTCCTCCCGAGCCCCATCTCCACCATGCTCTGCTAGTGATGCAGCCGACGGGGACTGCAGAACAAGCTCTACCTCGCCTGATCGCCACACCGCTTCCCAGGATGATCTGCTAAGACGCATCGACAGAATGCTCCAAAAAGCCCTGCAGACCACCTCTAAACAGATCACGGACAAGGTGACGCGGGAAATTCGGGAGCTGGGTCAGCGCACAGCAGATCTGGAGGCCCGGATGGATGTAACCACAGACACTATGGATTACCATGACAAGGAACTGGAGCAACTACGGGAAGACAACTCCCAACTGATGTCCAAACTGGAGGATCAGGAAAACAGATCCCGCAGATCTAATCAGATTAAATTTCTCTACTTTCGATCGAGGGAAGCTATACTACAGGCGGCACGCAAATCTCCCTCTCTCTCATTCCAAGGCTATGACTATCAGGTATTCGCTGACCTGGCGCCATCTACCATTGCAAAGCGTCGGGCTATGAAACCAGCCCTGGCGGTACTGCAACGCCATGGAATCCTTTATTGCTGGGGGTTTCCTTTCCGCCTAATGTTCACGTACACTCCTTACCAATGCTCCACTCTTTCGGAAGCCACCGCACTGCTGGTGGATGTCAGCCTCCCTGGAGATGCCCCCCCTGATCTGTCAGTCACACCTAGACGCCGTGCTCCATCGGGACGCCTCTGGACACCAACTCACCCGTCATCTCAATCAACCTCGCCCGCGGGAGGCCTCCCGACACGGTACTCCACCTCACCTGGCTGATCGGCGCCCAAGAGGAGCGGTGCGGTTTTGGACCGGGTTCCTGATCTGCGGAGTGAGTCTGGGACGTCGCAGCTAGCGGCCCACAAAGGTGCCTCCGCTCTGTTGAGCTCGCTTGGAGGTGGTGCACTTCCACCATGTTGTATGTACCGTGTTCTTTTGCTCTGGGATGGGTCGAGAATTTGTTTATTCTATGTCACACTTTAATGCTGTTTGCGCTTTAGTCAGCGCCGTGTTTTTATTTTATCTTATGATTATTTCTCTCATGAGAGTCTCGGCGGGGCAGTCACTGCACCCCCGCGTTAACCAGAAGGTCGATTCCAGCAAACCTTTTGGATCTGATTCCGCCCGGGAGCGTTGATAGCCGGAGTTTGACGGCTCGGCGCGCCAGCACAGCACAGTCCATACCAGACCAGACCAGAAAAATACTGCTTGTCTTATTTTGTCTGGTCTGGCATGCACTGGAATGCATAGAAACACATAAAAAACGCATACAAAAACACTGGAACGCACCTGAAAGCACATTTTAAGCTAAACAAAATTAAATAAACTCTCCTAAACACGGTAAAACACAATGCCCTGCGTTCCAGATCTGGTCCGAAAATGGTGTCCACCTACCCTTAGGGTAGTAAATAATAGAAAGGTAATGTGATCAGTATTCTATACTCTGCGAAGCACCGAGGTGTGCTCAGCTATGTGTACACCCAACAAAAACAGACAAAAGGAGCCTTGCAATTCTTTTATATAAAGGTGGTTGTAATTACTTGGTACAGGAAAGACTAAAATGACTCGAAGATAGTGTTACATCCTCTCCATATCTAACAGTGACACGGGAAAAGACAAAGGTTTGTAAATCTCTGCTACATACGAATCAGTCAGATCCAGGTCAAGTCAGGTAAATCTGTTTCCAGCCTGTTTATCATTGAGGGAAAAAAAGACTGCAATTACTAAAGGAAAATTGTTACTATTACAGGAAAGCTATATCTCTTTTATTCAAAGTTACTATGGTAACTTATTAAAAAATAGATTTGATAGCACAAATATTATATGAGCTTGGCTGAACAATGGTTAGCCACTGTGGGATGCCAGCTACTCTCAGTTGTGTGTGTTCAATAATCAAATATTTCTGCCATCATTTTAGAACAATGCAGCGCAGCTTAACAGACATGAGGTCTACAATAAGTCATTTTGAACTAAAGGCACAAGATTTTGAAACACAAAACATTTTATGATCCTAATGTCGGCATTGACCAGGGCTTATAATTGTTAAAGCAGAAGTCCGGGTAAAAAACAAAAACTTACCCTTGCAGTGGGGCTTCCTCCGCACTGCAAGGGTTAAATGCTCATTTTGGAAAGGCGGCTGAAATTATGCAGATATACTCACCTGAGGCTACGTCCTGTTGGTCTGGTAGACCAGTCCCCACAGCCTTTTTCCCCCTAGGCATCAGCAGTCTTAAGCTGCCAATACACTTTGCGATCATTGGACAAAACTTCTCGTCCGATGATCGAACTGTCGTACGATTTTCGTACGGCAGCCCCATCCTGCATCGATTATCGCAAGGTTCAATCAGCAGTAATTTTTTTTTTTCAATCAAGAATTTTTTTTATTTTGCTTTTTTTCATACAACAGTAGATAGGCATATCAGAAGCATGTGTTCACATATGATGGTTTAACATGGAAAGCGGTGAGCCTCTTCGCTTCTTATACATTCAATGTTGCCGTGAAGGCACTATACAGTGATACAGACGTTAACGGATGCCATTTAACATTTTTAAACCATTAATCCAATACAGTCAAGTACTACATGAGTACTACAGGTAACTGAGATAAGTATAGATGGACGTAGGGGGTCGCGTATCTCCCGCACGCCACCCTCGCCATACATCGAGGTAAGGAAAGGGTCGGGGGAGGAAGGATAGGGAAGGGAATGGAATAGGGTTCAGCAAAACAGTACAAGTGGGGGATGAGGGAGGCCTGGCTGTGAGGGGATCCCCTCGTGGGGTTGGGGATTCCAACCTCAAGTTCATAGTGCAAGTAGGCTAGCATCAAATGAATGTGCTTGGAGATGTTGGAT